ACCCACAGGGATCTTGGTCTTTTCTGGGCTTCAGCCTGTTTGGGGAGCCCAGTGAAATCTGCTGAGACAAGCGCCCTGGATATTTACTGATCACGAGGGCTGCTGCTTGCTGGGAGAGTTGGAAGCATTACATGGCCTTTAAAAGTTCAGATCTTGTTAACCAGGAGCCCCTGGGGTATGTCCAACTTCACTCTGGATCTCAAGGACACTGACTACAGCCTGAACACACTGGGCACCAGCCTAAGCCACGGATGGTGCTCTCTCCTAGTTATACACCGTTGTAGTAATATAATGTGAACTGAAAATGCATAAAGTGACCGAGTGCTGGAAGAGGCCAGTACATGCTTCCAAGCACACGTGTATTTCCTTAGTGCATACAGCTGAAGGGCTGGGATGTTGCTCCACAGGAGAGCATTTGCCAGCATGTGCAAGGCCCTGGCTTCCATTTCTAGCACTGTGAGCAACAAATCAATACAAATGCTACCACCAACCAAACCTGATGATACTGCTGCACTTACATCAGAACCTACTGTGTAGACTTCAGTATTTTCAATGATGGGGTGAATTCTTTAAAAATTTATTTTGTATCTGTCTATCTATCTATCTATCTATCTATCTATCTATCTATCTATCTATCTATCTATCTACCTACCTACCTACCTATCTATCTACCTATCTATCCTTATCTGTCCTGCAACTCACTCTATAGACCAGGCTGGCCTTAAACTCAGAGATCCGCCTGCCTCTGCTTCCAAAGTGCTGGGACTAAAGGCGTGCGCCACCAGGCCTGGCTGGATGTTTTTTTTTTTAAACTAAACATCAGGGGCAAAAATGAAAGCCACGGAACAATGTAGAGGTAGGAGATCCCGCCATCCTCCTTAACACCCAAGGGCAGACAGCGAACTCCCTTAAGGGGCAGTGGTCCTTTATTCAGGCCCAGTATCAGGGTGCAAATCTTAAGACCAGATCACAGGCAGAGAGGAAGCACACAAGCACACTACCTACAAGCTATGGGGGAGGGTGGTGCTCTATGCCAGGGACTGAACGCTCTCCGAGGAGGGTGCATATAATGAGATCTGACCTTGCAGGAGGCACTAGCTCTAAGACCCAAGATTGGAGGGCAGGGCTGGAGGTGGGGAAGGCAGAGAAAGGGGATTAGTGTCTTACCAAACTCTGCAAGTTAAGAGGGACCTCCTCAAGAAAAGGAAACAAAAGGCTGTCTGTCTGTCTGTCTGTCCCTCAGGTGCTGGGCCGAGGCTATGACTTCCCTATTTGGCACTACTTTTACTAGCTACTTACCCAATTTCTTCACCAAGAGAGAAAAATCGGCTGGGGCAGTGACGTTGTGTCCAAAGTCAAGGAGCCAGGGAAAGGCCTGGCACTGAGCCCAGCTCCCTGGCTCTCACCCTCCTTTCCCAGGGTCTGCTAGCAGACTGGAAATACCCCATCCCTACTTGGTGTGCATGTGGAAGTATTATAGAGTTGCAAAGTGGCTCCAGCTGCCCGCCCTGGGTCCCTAGCCCTCCCCAGCAGCACACCACTCTTGGGTCTTTAACTGGCATTTGGGCCTCTTGCCCTTGGCCAGTGCCTGGTCCAGCACCTGGCCCAAAACGAGAGTCTAATCAATATTTGCCAATGACTGGATTCTCTCCATTGAATCTTGGTCAAGTGCAAACCATACACAAGCACACTGCACTCGGAGAGATGGAGGTTTACAGGGAAAGGTGGCTAAGAGACACTGAATAGCCAACATCTGATTCTGTCATCTAGAGTGGGTATCTTTGCAGGCTTGGTGAAGTATGAGAGACATTCATTCCTTACTACTCTGAGGGTCACTGTCATCCAAATGCTTTAGAAATAGTGTTCACATCAGCAGTGTCTGCAGAGTTCCCACTTGGTGGTAGGACATCTGTAACATCTGTAGGGAGGCCAACTGTTTACGGCCTAAGAGAGAGGACAGCAGGAGGAAGGGGTGAGGAGGAGGTTGTGCTGCTCTGTGACATGACACCCATGAGGCGGCTTCATCTGCCAAGACAGAGCCCAAGTGCTGGCAGCAAACACCACTCACGAGTGTGCCCCGCCCGCCCGCCCGCCTTGGCTCTTGCAGCAGCACGAGGCTGCTGAGCACTAATGGCCTTGGAATGTTTGCCAGTGCCCAGCAAAACGGCCTTGGCACCAAGGAGACAGATGTTTGTCAGTGAATGGCAGGGCCTGAGTTTGTGGCACACAGCAGCCTGCTGGAGGCTGAGAGAGCGGCTGCAGCCGTCACTCTCCATCAGTGCTAATCAATTTCACACCCTCTTCAATGCAGATAATAGATAATCTTGGGAAGCACGCCAAGGACCCTAACACAACATGCAAGCTGCTCCCAATGCCCGACTGCCTCCTGGTTTTCCTTGGAGTCTACACCCCACCTTACACAAAGCACCTGGTTGTGCCAGCATGCCATTCTGCTGAGGTGGCTCCTCTGGGACAGCAGACAGGAAGGGTGTTCAGGGAAAGGACTGCTGGTTTGCTGAGGTGACACAGAAACCCAGCAGAAGATGGGCCACACGGCAGTGGCTTCCCCTCAGTGACTCAGATACTTCACATGCTAACACTCGGTTTTCAGTCACTGAGAGGAGCAGCCACTCCCGTTTACAGATGTGGAGACAAAACCATAGAGAGGGTAAGTTAGCTGCCCAGGGGCTCAGAGCCAGAAACACCAGCGCTGGTATGGAACCTAGGCCTCTCTGATCCCACATGTATTTCTGTCACTTTCTACTAGGCCTGGCTGGCCTCTCCTCTCTTCTCCCTTCCCCAGGGGACAACTCCTTACTCTTAGGTAGTTTTTTGTTTTTGTTTTTGCTTTGTTTTGTTTTGTTTGAGACAGGGTCTCCTGTAGCTCAGGCTAGCCTCAAACTCCTTATGTAGCTGAGGATAACTCTGAACTTCTTGTCCTTTTGCATCCACTACACAAGTGCTGGGAATAAATGAAAGTGTCATCATACTCAGTCTATGTGGTACTGAGGACTGACCCCAGCGCTGGGGTTTGTGCATGCAAGCACCCCACCAACTGCGCTGCATCCCCAGGTCTTCTCCTTAGGCTTTTAATCCATCCCACTGTCAAAAGATGGCAGTTACCAAAGGATGGCCCACTGAACTAGAGTGAAACGTTAAGCTAGAAGGGACCTAGGAGCCGCACGAGGAACAGTGATAAGCCATGACTGGCGGCAACTTCAAAGTCATGAATCTGCCTCCCAGGCTTTCTTCTGCCACTTAAAATCTGCTCCAGCAGGTTCTCTCAGGGGCTGCGGCAGGGCTAGAGCTCCACTGGTGTCATGGCTATTCTCACACAGAGCTAGAGAACCTTCATTGTGTCTAGTTGTCATCCACACAAAGAAAGGCTCCCACTGTGAGAGTACTCTATCAGTCACTCAGTGTTCCTCATGTACCAGACGGAATGAAGGAGCGGGGCGAGGAGTATGCCTAGGTGTCTAAGCCCAGCTCAGCATTTAGAGTCTCTGCCTTTTATCTTGCAGCTGGATCTCTGTGTGAAAGAAGAAAGTCCCTATCAATCAATTCAATCAATCAGGAAACATCTGAGCACTTACTAGGCTTAGAGATCATAGGGAAATCACAGAGTGAGAAAGTTACAATCTACTGGTCTGCCTAGGTGGAGGTGTGTTTTGTGGGAGTGTGGGAGTGCTGGGCAGGAAGTGGCAAAGAAACAGGTCTCAGGGTCTCACATTCGCCCCAGCTCCAGTCCAGCTGTGCAGAGCAGATGAACAGAGCTCTGTCTACTGCTGGGGTGGGTGCGAAACACTCGGGCTAGAGGCTCCCAAGCCTCAGGTGTCTCTTCAAGTGAGAACTGGGAGATCCAGAAAGTCCAGATCACAGGAACTCAGGGCTCCTGTAGCCTGCAAAAAGCAGGAAAGGGATCACTCTGTACTGTGGCTGCACACTGGGAGTGTCTGTAGGTCAGAGCACAAACTGGACAACTGGCAAGTGTGAAAACCTTCCTTGATTAAGATGTGTGCTGAGTAAGCCACAGGGATGGAGACGGAATGCCATGGAGGCAGGGGAGAGGCATGGGGGGCCACCTAACAGAAGACTAGGTGTGGCCCCTCAAGAATGAAACCCAGCCAGGCCCATGGCCCGCAAGCTGCAGGACCAGAAGACAGGGCTAGCCATGGCAGCCTAGGGCTTGGCCTGGTCACAGAGACAGAGCCTTTATTCCCTGGGCCTCCTTTCTGCATATGGGAAGCTGGATCTACTGACTTCTCGGCTTTCTCCTGCTCTCCTACCCTGGCATCCCTTTCCTTAGAATCCAACCCCCAATTCCTCAGGACAATGGCAGCCAACAACTGACCAAGACAACTTGGTCACCATGGTACCAAATCCTGGCACTGTACTTGGGCACTTTTGAGAGCTGTGCTTGTCTAGGGTCTTGTCCCAAACTCCTAGGGTGACCTGAGTTAGTCCTACATCCTTCCTCCTAAAAGCTCACCACTGAAGTTCTCATGCTGTGACTGTTACTCTTCACCAGCAGCTGGATTTAGGCCGCTGTGGAAATGCCCCCTGGGTATGACTATGAGGGGTGCTTCCAGAAGGAAGACCTACCCAGCATCATCCCATGGGCTGGGGTCCCAGATGAAGAGAGAAGAGAGCAAGCTAAGCACCAGCATTCACCTCTTCCTGCTTTGTGACTGCAGATGCAAAGTGACCGGCTGCCTCATGCTTCTGTTGCCCTGCCTACAGACAGACAGACAAACTGTAGAGCCTCAAACTGTGAGTCAAAATCAACTCCTCTTCCCTTGTCAGGTATTTGATCAAAGCATCAATAAGAGTAACTAAAACATACACACACACAGAGCCTTTGGCTCTGCCCTTGTGGCATGGTAGGTGGCCCTTGGCTGGAGATGCACCTTTGCTCTACCTGTCCTGTGTCGAAAGAGGAGGCACCTAGGGGACCAAATGGAGTGTGTCAGGAATTCGCAAGAAGTGGGCGGGATACATACATGTTTCTCTCCTTCTATCTTCTTGTCGGCCACCTGCATTGCACCCAGATACTTAAAATGCAGCTCCATTAGCCTGTCAACCTGAAAGAGAGTGCCAGCAGGGGTGAGACAGGAAGAAGACACTCCCCACTTCACTGTCGCTGCTTGCAAAGGGAGACCCACACTTCTACCTCTGACATGGGGGATGAACAGCAGGGACACATCCAAAACAGAATGGGGTGCCTGTAAGAATAGCATATACCAGCATCCATCCAGCATGCACCAGCTTGAACACATGCCCACTGCACAAAGGAAGAGTGCCAGCCCTCTAGGACTCCTGAGAATTCAAGTTGTTAACAACAAATAAATGAATAAATAAACATTCGAGGTCCTTCTTGCAAAGAGAAGGCACTTGAAGTTATATACTTGATATTCACTTAGAACTTAGGTTTCTTTTTTCCAACCGAAACCTTTCATGTTCAGATTCTGCCCCAGAGCTGATCTAAAAAAAAAAAAAAAAAAAAGCCAGAGTAAAATCTTTTTAGTTGCTTTTGAGTCAGAAGAGAGTGCCAGAAAACCTCCTTCAGCAACTTGAAAAAAAGACTGACTTCTGTTCAGAAATAACTTGAGTCAGTTTTCAACTTAGCAAAGCCATCTTGGAACATGGCCTGGGGACACCAAATGGGTTTGGAAAGGTTCACTTTCCCCAAGACCTTCAAAGGGCAGAGAGTGCCGCCTTGATGCCGGCCAGACTTCTGACCTACCCGCCAGGCTGGCACCACCACGGCTCTTGGCAAGCGGTACTTTTCTGTACTGGAGCCGATACTGTGTTGCTCTAACAGAGCCACAGACATTCCAGGCAGATGGCACCCAAGCCCCAACCCTTGGCAGCTAATGGTGACTTGGTGACTTTATGCACTTCCCTCCGCATGTTTCTATGTCCATGATTTCCTTAAACCATGAAAAAGTGTATCAGGTAACAGGGAAGTGGTGTCAGTCCTCCTACAAAGTTGTGGAAACTGGAGCACAGACCGTGACTGCTGAGATGCTCTGTGCTGTGGTACATTGCTACTGGGCAGCACAGACAGCTGAAGGTGGGCTCAAAGAGGCAGAGCAAGATGCCTCTGAAGGCTGTGCCCCAGCCCTAACTACCTTGGGTACAAGCAGGAATGTAATGATCATGTGTTAAAAAGGGGACTCTGAGTCTTCCTTCTACTCCTCTAGAACTGCCTATTATACACAGTGTGGACAGATACACAGGCTTCTGTACTCAGCAGCCTGGGTTCAAGCCCCAGATCTGGTAGCATTAGTGATCTTGGGCAATTCCCATGATGCCTGCAAACCCAACCTTCAGGTTCCTACTGAAAACTGGGTGGCTCGGACCCTAGGATATGACTTTCCGCATAGCACAGTGAAGGCAGCTCCTCGTTCCCCACTCCACAGCAGTCACTCCACAAATGGTAGCTACTGTTACTGTTCACTTCTTTTGGTTTGAGATGTGAGATGACAACCTGAAACGCTGTCCAATCTCATGGAGTGATCACCCCCCTGGGGCTGCTCAGCACTTCCTTATCAAGACCTTTCTCTCTTCACCACCCCTAGAGAGCTCATCTAATCCCCCCACCCACACCCCGCCACTGAGTCTCCCAGAGGAGCACTAAGGTCTCCAATTTAAAGCTGGGGGAAAGAGAGGCTCAGAGTGGCACACACCATTTCTTTCTTGCACACGTGTGTGCATGTGGAGGTCTGAGGTTGAGGCAGGTGTCTTGCTGGCTTGCTCTCCACTTTGCTTACTGGAGCAAAGCCTCTGGACCCCAGTTAACCTAGTTACGACTCGGCCAGCTTGCCCTGGGGACCCCTTGCCTTTGCCCTTCTGAGTGCTGGGATCACAGGTGGCTGCCACACCTGTCCAGCTTTACATGGGCTCTGGGTATCTAAACTCTGGTCTCTGTGCTTGCATGCCAAGTGCTTTTATCCCCTGAGCCATGTCTGCAGCCCACATATACTTGAAAGTAGCAAAAATAGCTTTAGCTATAGGCCTCTGACTACAAAGTGTGTTCTCAATCACCTGGCTGTGCTGTGCCCCCCACCACACCCTAACTGAAACTCTCTTACAATCTCCTCTCACCAGGTCTGAAAACCCCCAAGTGTCCACCGCTGCCACCCCAGGAGGTCCTGCATTCCCAGGGGAAGGTTCATCTGCACACAAGAACGATGCTGGCGAAGGTACTTTAATTTAGGGTGAAACGCTGGCGGCAGCACCCCTCAGCAGGGAGCTGTCGTCTCCCCATCACTCTGGTCCTGCCCCTATCCTCAGGGTCACAGGTACCCACCTTCTCGCTGTCGTTCTCGGTAAATTTATTCAGAAGCCGGGTTCGCTGCTGCCCTCTCAGGTTTCGTAGGAGGGAAGCCAGGATCGAACAGACATGCTCTGGGGTGGGAAGGAGAGAAGAGAACATGCTGAGATCACAGCAGTAATTATTACCTCTTCAGGCCAGTCTGGTCTGTCAGAGGAGGAGAAAGGAGGCGTCACTGACTGAGACTATTGATTAATAAGACAAGAACCTCACTGGTGTCATCAGAAAACTAAACTGATCTGGGCACGCCACACAAATATACAGTCAGAAGGGATGACATCCTCAAGGACAGAGTGAGCAAGGAGACCAAAGGGAGGTGAGAATTTCTATCTTGCCTGGAATTAATTGACTTGTATTGTCCACAACAGAACCTCAGACTAATCCCCCACTTACAGAAATGCCCCGTGAACAGAATACGAACACCAGCCAGGACATGAGTGAATGATGAATAAGAAATGTTCTGTCACTTCTCAAATTGCCTTGTAACTTTCCTTGGCAACTGCCCTGGAATGAAATACCAAGTGTGATAGTGCCCAAACTCTGCTGAGCTAAGCTCACTTGATGTTGAAGGGGCTGGAAGGTAGGCACGCACACTGTGCCAGCCTCCTTAGCTCTCAGCCCAGTGGCTTCCCTCAGAAACCGCTGTCCCACCCGTGCAGAGGATGAACGCAGGGTATGATACAGGCTTCAGTTCTGAAGACAGTTTTTCCTTTAACATTACAAAGGATGGCTGTGCAAGCATAAGGACCTGAGTTCACATCCCCAGAATCCACATAAAAGCCAGGCATGGTAGTGCAAGTCTGTAACCCCGGAGCTTCCACAGTGACGTAGGAGGAAGGAACAAGAGAATCCCGAGGCTCCCGGGAGGGCCGCCTGGCAGATACACAGCAAACAAGAGACCCTGTCTCAAACAAAGTAGAATGTGAGGACTGACACCCAAGGCTGTCTTCCAGTTCTACATGCACGCGCGCGCGCGCACACACACACACACACACACACACACACACACACACACACACAGATTTTAAAATCCTTCAATAATGACCTTGAATAGGAGGTCACAGATACCTACTCATAAGGAAATGACAAAGTTTATTTTGAAATAAATTGCTGCTGCTAGGGAGATGGCTCAGAGATTAAGAGTGCTCACTGCTCTTTCAGAAGACCAGGGTTCGGTTCCCAGTCAAATTGGGTGGCTAACAATCAACTGTCTGTAACTCCAGCTCCATGGAATCCAGCACCTTCTTGTGGCCTCACCAGGCATCCACACAAACTTGGCATATACTCATGTAGACATGTACATATACACACTAAAAAGGGGGGGCAGTTTGGAGGGATGAGTCAGTGGTTAAGGGCACTGGCTGCTCTTCCAGAGGACCTGGGTTCGATGCTCAGCACCAACATGGTAGCTCACAAATGTCTGTAATTCCAGTTTAGGATATCTGACATCCTTTTCTGGCTTCTGCAGGCACCAGGTACATACATGGCACACAGATATACATGGAGGCAAAACACCCATACAAATAAGATAAAATAATTTAAAAAAATGAAAAAATAGCTCAGCATAGATGATAGATGTCTGGCAACTGAAGAGTACCTTCACATGTAGGTGCTACCCAGAGTTCTGAGTTCTGTGACTGTGAACTTCAAAGAGCCACAGGGAAGCATCCCACATCTGACTGTGACATCCTGTGCTTGGGTGTGTCCTTCTCGACTTACCCCTCTTCATGTCCCCAACCTAAAGCCAGACTCCTTTGTTCTCAGATATCTGCAGGGCTGTGTTCATCCTGTCTTAGGTCTCATGTCTTTACACGCTGAGTCTCACAAACTTGAACCTGTAGCCAGACCTGTCCTTTGAATGTCCACTGTCTACGGCTTCTCCCACACACTTATCCAACAGGTCTGTTCAGCTTAACAGCAAGAGCTTACCCTCCCTCTCCAGCCTGCTCCATTTACTTCAAGGTAACCAGGTGCTCAAGCCCCACAGCAGATCCTTCATGAAGACACCATGCAAGTTCTCCCTTCTGATGTGACTCCAGCTCTTCACCATCATCACTGTCTCCCGACTCTAATTTGAAACACCATCATCCCCGCCCACAACATGCCACAGCCTGCGGGCGAGAAGGCTCCTTGCTTCCATCCTTGCCCCTGGGCATAGTCTTCACAGAGCACAAGGACGTTCCTTCAGCAATGGCTCCTGACCTTCGCCTGACTGCTGACTCTGATGCCCGGTGCTCCTGCCTCAAGGCCTCTGCCAGAAATGCTCCCTACCAGTCACCCTGGTGCTTACTCTCTCTTTAGATTTAGGGGGCCCCAGCCTTCACCAGTAGACTCCCTTGTCCACTCTTTGAAAATGCAAAGCTCCAACACTGGCAGTTATAGAGTCTCATTAAGCCTTCCTTCTCTCTACATCAAGTGCTGCATGTTTACTGATTTTGGTCACCATCTCCCTTCAGTTAGAATGTACGTTGCCTGAAGACAAGGACTTCAATCTGCTTTGGCCACTGCTTACCCCTCATCCCCACCTCCATTCCAGTCTGGCATCTACAGCAGGTGTTTTGGGAAACCCTGGTGGATGAACGGGAAGGAAGCAGGCTCTCTGTATGAACAGCCAGAGCTGGAGATGGGCCTCAGACCATTACTGACTTCTGGATGCCTTTTTAATACCTTTATACCTCTGGGTAAAGCATCCAGCCCAGGTTCAGAGGAATGCTGCCTTGCATGCTGACCAGAAGAACCAGAAGGCTCTGCTCTGGAGAGAGCAGCAGCATAAGCAGGGACAGCTTTGAAGGTACAGTCAGGAAAAGCAAGGCCTCTGGGTGAGCCAAGAAGAAACGACCAGAAGGTGGAGAATGGGACCCCCAGGATTCTGCTATTCAAGGCTGAAGGAGCAGCTAGGGCTCGGATCCCTTCAGCTGGTGAACAGGTGTGAGACAAGCCATAAGGAATGCAGCGAATCTCACATACTCAGCTCTGAAACTTTGAAATTCCTTAGCACAGCAGCTGGGAACAACCTCTGTGTATACATTTAAGGCATCTGACAACCACAGAAGGAGAACATCAGCCAGTTCTCTCTCATACAATGTCTGAGACAACCCTCTCTCTGCACGGATGGAAAAACCCAGGCCCAGAGCAAAGCAGCTCATCCCCACATGGTGCAAGGGGTATGTATGGTCCTAACTTCAGATGACAGACATACCATTCACCACTTAGCTCTGCAGTGCAAGAAGTGAGTGCTCAGGGCTCCAAACAACACAGTACCCTAACCTGAAGGAGCTCCTTAAGGCTAGAGAGAACAAATCAACTATTATAGTGCCATGTGACAGGTTCAGTAACTTGGTAGGTATGGGACACTTGGGAGCAGAGGACATCTGCCTAATGCTTCCCACTGGAAGAAACACAATTGAAAATCCTAAATCCTGGTAGCCATGTAGAGAAGAAGAAGGAACACTCTAAGCCAGGGAACCAAATGTATAAAAGCCACTGGATGGAGTGTCATGTGCATGTGGGGGAAGGGACCAGCTGTGGGAAAAGTGACCAACCACGGCCACTAGTGACTTTAGAGCTGGCTGCAGAGACAGGATCACACCGAGGTTTAATGATATGATCTCAGCAGCCACATTCCTTCTACAGACTAACCCTGGGAACACGTCTCTTTCCTGATGAATTTGTTTTTTCTCCTTACCAATGCTCCCTCTGTCTTGGCTATTAGGAAGCTGAAGGATGAATTCATGATACCCAAAGGAAGCAGCTTCCTTATTGCTTTATTGCTGGTCCCAACAGAAAGCAATGGATGCATGTGGTAAAAATGAAACTACACAAGGCATAAATGTACTTAATATTTATGAGTGTCTCTACTAATATTTTTCTTTTCCCATTCTCTTCCCACTATCTTGCCCTCCCAAGGGGAAAAAAAAAACTACAAAGTACCTTGTGCGCATTCTCGAGAAAATTTATATTATACACATATATATCCCCAAACATAACTGCGCTTATCAGCACAGACTTCCTTTTTTAAATGGCTATCAAGAATGCCACTGAATTTAACGAGTGAGCCATTCCTGTGTATTTTTGGTAGCTTCCAGTTTGAGATCCCCACCCCCCCATTATTAAGGGTAACGATACTCACATGTTCTGGCATATTTTTCCATGTTTTTTCCTTATAGTATATTCTTAATAATGGGATATGTGACTCATGAAAATCACATATAAAATGCTAAACGCCATTTGGGCCAGAGAGATGGTAAAGACAACACTAGCCATGCAAGCCTGGAGAGTCGAGTTCAATCTCTGGAACCCACATAAAGGTGGGAAGACAGAACTGATTCACAAAGTTGTCCTGACCTCCATATGCGTGCTGGCTGTGGCACATGCGCCCCCCTTCCCCACAAAAAAATAAAAATTTCTAAAAGAGATTGTCTTTCCAAAGGAACACACTAAGTATGTACTGCTTCAGTAGACACACGGGTAGTTAAGTATGCGTCTCCCTACACCCTTCCTCACAGCGAACCACCCAAGAGAAACGGCAACGCCGGGGCAGGTAGAACCAGCCTCTCCCCTTGGTTAGCATGTGCTTCTTCCACGTTCTTTTCCTATGTGTATGAACTGGGTCCCCAGACACAGGGTACCACAGGATACCCTACAATATGGAGATCTGTCGTGAGGGGTTGGCTTGGGTGCCTGTGGAGACGCACCTGCAAGCTGAAGACCTGGGAAAGCGAGAGGAGCAGTCCCACTGCAAGCCCAAAGGCCTGAGGCTCAGGCCAAACGCACTACTTAGCCCCAGTCTTTGTTTGGAGAGCTGAGAACCATGTCTGAGGGCTGTCTGGCCCTTCCTCCTTCTTACTATATTTGGGGTTCTCAATAGATGGGGGTAATGTCTACCCACACTGTGAGGATGATCTTTACTCAGCTATCTGATTCAAATGCTAATCTGTTCCAGAAATACCCTCCTAGACACACTGAGATAACGTTTCATCAGCTACCAGGGCTTCTTTTACCATAGTCATGGTAACACATGACTTACTCACCATGCTATGTTTACTAATGCTTGTGCTGCTTCTCCTGTGAACTT